AAAATCAAAATAAAAAATAAATTTGAGAGCATCATAAAAATTAAAATTAAAGGGTTAAATTGAAAATAAAAAACTTTAACAAAAAAAAAAGAATGAATGAGAGCTAAATTGAATAAAATAAAATAAAATAAACTTTTGATTAAAGGTTGAAATTGAAAACAAAAAAAAACTTTAATAAAAAAGCCAAAGATAAAAATAAAAAATCAAAAGAATAAGGAACGAATTAAAAAAAATAATATATGATAAATTGTAATTTAAGGACTAAATAACAAACATAATTTTTTTATATAAAAGGACCAAGAATAAAAATAAACAATAAACATAAAGATTGAAATTGAAGAAAAAAAAAAGGATAAGCATGCACTTTCTTTGAAAGAGAAAGAAAAAAAAAAGGAAACAATTATCGATAACAAATCACTCATTATCTGTTATCACATGTTAAAATATGAGGAAGATGACATGGTGGGGCTTTCTAGAACACATCGGAAGGCCATGTTTAACTACTCGGTGATGTCTTACGTGCTAATATATAATGAAAATATTGTTACAGCTTTCCTAATTTAAAATTTTTTTAAAATATAAAATTATTTAAACATCCCTCGTTAATCTGAAAATAACAAATAAATCAATATGAAAGGACTAAAACACCCCTAATACATAATTTATTGTTTGTCTTTTCTAAGAGCAAAGATATATTTTAATTGTAGTCTGAAAAGGAGAAAACAAAATAAGCCCTTCATCAATGACTCAAGTATTTTTTTATATCTTAAGGATAAAAATGTATTTTTAATTTTTTAAAGTTTATAAAAAGACAAAAACATTATCAATTAACATCTTTAAATTTTGTTCACCTGGAAGATAGATGATTATTTTAAATGTATAAAAATATTTGAAAAGACTAATATATCTCCACCTTGGGGTTAGAAGATTGTTGTAATATTTTTGTTAATATTTTGATATAACTTTACCGTGACACACATGCCTTACTAAAAATTGGAAACGGCCTCGATGGAACCTTTGTAAACTTAATTATTATACGCGGATATGATATATATGTACAGAACTTTTCTTTCCATTTAGTCCTCGTGTATACAATGCGCCCGTGGATGCATGCATTAATTTTCAAGGACTTACAAACAAGCACTACTCTAGTTAATTTTTTCGTAACCCTATCATGTCTATGCGCGGCTCAAAATCACTTTGGAAAGTTCAGGCGTTCGAAAAAGAATATGAGGTCATGTGTAATGTTTCTGGAGTTTTGGAATATCACCAATGGCGATACGTTGGCTCACCCCTTTTTTTTTTTCTTCCATGTTTGAAATGCTAGCTTAACACATCTAGGCCGCTTGGCTGATGATCAAGCCATCACTCTTCTAATTCAAATATAAAGAAAAGCGGCACCCCATCAATCTTCTTTTGTTTGTGAGGAGCTAGCTAGAGATCATATGTACCAGATTTTGATGGTTGCAGATCATATCCTATAATAGCCAAGGAACTGGCGAAGTGCTTGGCTCTTTTTTGTGGCATTCTCTACTCTCGTTTATATATATATATGGTTGGAGACGACTCCCAGAGAAAATTAAAATAAAATATCATTAATTGACAGAACAAAAAGAGGGTGCCTTCTCGTCTCAGATGGGCCCCTAGAATATGTGATGATCGAGGCAGCAGGACCCGCCATTGCTTGACTTTTTGGACCTTGATAATTGAAGAGTGGAACAGGGTTGTTGAAAAGTAGAAGGTCGATTTTCGTTTTCTCCTTTTTATCTCACTGGCTGGCTCTAGCCTCTGGTCATGCACGTAAACCAGCCATATGGAATGATGCATTGCCTGACCTGGCAAAGAAAATGGCAACATTCCTTGGCATATACGTTCTGGAATTGCTCTTTTTCGTCCAGCACACTTTTGATCGAATTCTTCTAGATCATCACAAACCAGAAGAAAAAGATCAATGTGTTAGGTATTTTCGATCCCATTCTCACCAATGCCAATTGTATTTGTTTACTATCCTCTTCTTTTCAAGTTTCTACTCAATTAATTCCTCATTGCCGTAAGAAATCTTGTTTGTAGGTGTCGTGTCCCTTATTATAGGCCATATTTTGATGATTTTTATTTACTTCTCATCTTGCAACGAGTCATTCTTTTGTTTTTTTCCCCCCAGTAGACTTGTTTAATATCTCCTGCATTAGTAGAATTTAGGAATCATCAGGCACCCACTACATATTGCAATATTAATTTCAATCCATTAAATAAAATAAAAGAAGGAAACTTTGACTACCATTAAAAAAAACACATCTCGTGGAAAAAATTGGTTGTGTTCCTGTGATTCTCCATAACAACTATATTTCACTTTTTAGTAATTTTGGCAATTTGAAGATCTGGAAAATCATGATATATAAAGGTTTTAATTTTTAGTTTTCAAAATATTTTTTATTTTTATTTATTTTTGACATCAATATATCAAAAAAAATCAAAACCCCCTAAAAGATGTTAATTAATAACTAAAAGTAATAAAATTTTATAAAAACGCCATTGAATTCCAATACCGAACCGTTAATATTAATATTATAATCATGTTCTTTAATTTCCACGTGTGTCTAAAGACGGATTCGAGAGAGGATTCCAGAGAGGGAGAGGAGAAAAGAAGAAGAAGATGGTACCCAATTTTTCAAACTTCGAATCCGAGAAAGTAGTTTAGTCTTTGCTGTAACTTTTAATATAGTATATCAAGATCACCAACTCATGCTACTAATTTTAACCTAAGCAAGAGCATTAGGGTGCAAATCACGTGCAAATCGTCTCTACGTGTATTTGGGTTACCATATTAAACAGCAATTAATCATGTTTCAAAAAGTTTGAATAACAGGACAGATTCTTCATTCCGTGCAGTTTGTCGAATACATGTGGAAAAGTCCTGAATCGCAGTTTCACACCTTCACAACTTCAAAGGTCGAGGACAATGGTGGGAGTACAAAATCTCAAACAAATCCAACGGAGACCTCTTTTCCTGTTGGGAAGAGAAAGAAATTAAAGGAATGCAGAAAAGAATTTGATATAAACGGTGTCCAGACCCAAGTCTCCCCTGCACATTAGTGAAACTCAGCTACCTTCAGTACGTATAGCTAGTTTACTCGGAGGTTGTCTTAGTGCGAAATCGATTTAAAATGAAATGGAAATAATTCAACACTATTTCCATTTCATTTTAATAGTTTAATTGATGAAAATTTTTATTAACTTTTATATTATTAATTTATCTGTAATTATTTCATTGATAGGATTATGAAGAAAATATTTATTAGAAAATTGGTTGTCAATAATATCAAGTCTATCATTAATAAATTTATTGATAACTTTATAAATAAAATAAGTACATTAAAAAAAATACTTACTTTATTCCGTAATTAATTCTCTATACAAATTATTAGTATATCACCAATAAAAAAACTATATATAATTTTGATGGCGAGTTAACAATCACAATGTAATTGCAGAAATTCTTGCCTTATCACTATTTTTACAACTGCCTCATTTGACACCTTTAAGGTCCATACCAGTGTTAAATCCTTATTGGTTTGATCAGGAACCTGATAAATCACAATTTTACCAGTGCAGCTTGACACCAAACACCAAAATCTACAAGAGACCCGGTCAAACCCAGCTAAAAACAATAAAATTTGTTCGGCTGAAATAGTGGATCCAGTATTAACCTAGGTTTTTATGTAATAATTATATAAGTTTTATAAAACTCAAATTAATATTTTTTTAAAAATAAATTTAAAGTTTAACCAATTAAATTATACCTCCTCATGGTTAATTAATTCACTTTCTTGATCGGTCAAATGCGTGCCATTTATGAAACCATATTACTAGTTTTGTTACTCTTTCTGTAAATCATGTCAAAAACTCTTCTCTGCCATGTAAATCATGCAAGACTGCCCTCGCAAGTCCAACGGGCCTTCTCCATCTTTCAAACCGTGAAGCTGTAGCTGTTCGCGGGCCTGGTCAGTGGTTACATGAAAGAAGAAGATGGTGGCGCTTGTATTTTCGTTGTTGCAAGTTGCAAGCTCAACTCTCCTGAGATCAAACAATTCATTAAAATCTCAGTTGGGTCTCATAGTTTTCTACTAGAATGATGAATGAATGGGTCCATATCACAGAAGAAAATCAAACACCTTGAAGAATCAACTTCTCTTGAAAAGAAAACTCTCTTCTAGAAGTTTGATAGTGGATTTCAAATTAGATTAGGCTTGATTCAATTGAGAAACAAGCACTAGCTATTAGCAAACCGGCTCACGTGAAACTTCACTTCTCAATTTCCATCCTGTCTCCAGTTCTCTCAAGTAATTTGGTGCCATACGAACAAAGCAGCACCGAGCAAACAATTGCATACTGCTTAATCATGTTTACTCTCCCTTCAACTTGGGTCCCTAAAGGACCATGATTCCATTTTTTTTTCCCAATCTCGGAATCCACTGCACCATAACAAATTAAACTCAGCCCAACAGCCTCCCTCTTCCAAAAAATTATCACACATGTTCAGGTCGTTCACACCGAAGCAATTTGAGTCGTTGGCTCCGTTGAGCCCCAACGACTGCATGATTGGTTCAAAATATGGATTTAGTCCACGGATTTTACGAGCCTCTATTCCTCACTTGCAATGTTTGGTTCAAAATACCACTCACATTATCGGTGAGTGGGATGAACCCATACAGAACCAGGCATTGACGAGGTTATGCTATGTTTCATCCAATTCCTTCCCAAGAAAGTTAACGGGGATGTCCTGTAATTTTTCAATTACATTCTTCACGCTTGCGATGCAGAGAACGGAAAGATGCATCCACAGTCAACTTGGTTTAATCGGTGCCCAAAACTCACTGTTGGAAATCCAATCTCACATCTTTTGCTGCAAAGGTCTCTTCTGTAGTCATGAAGCGTAGCCATGGCACCTGCTATGTCTGTTTGCATAATAGCTACCAACTGTAATGCTACTGTCACGAGTATCATCCATAAAGTTCAATTTTGCCAAATTCAAATCCAGTAAAAGATGAGAAACATGAATTATCTGAGCCAGTTAGGAACTTATTGCATGAAAAAGTATAAGAAAATTATTGAGTATTTTACATTTGACTTCACAGACAGTTCCCAGTGAAACTACTTCCCACCAACAGCAGCCAAAAAATCTTAGGATCCATTTCTCGTGATTTCAAAGCTCCCTGCCATTAGTATCATGGATGGAACATGCACAGTAAAGTAAGAACCAGAAACCAAAACAGAAATACAGGAGTAGGAATTAAGCAGTAACTGCATAGAGGAAAAATAAGTATATGTATAAAAATAACAAGTAGATTGAAAGTCAAATTGACACCTATGTCTCCAGAAGATTGGAGTTGATGAATTTTTAATATTCTTTCATTCCAAAAACGTAGCAAAGAAAGTTGTCACCAGCAACAAACCCAATTATTACAGGTATGGATCATCCTCATTGATGTCCATGTACATATCTTTCCACTGCATGTGCTCCAAGAATGTCTAAGATCACAACTAGCATGTCCCAAAAAATTGACTTGTATGAAACATGAAGTGTCACAAGTCCTACTTTGTTAATAATTATAACAAGTGCAACAATATCTAAATCAATTTCAAAGATGAACCTGTGCCAATAAATGATCACATGTAGTACGACCTTTAAAAACTTCACTAGTTGAATTATGGATCTGCTTTTAAGTTGTTGATTTGATAATTTTAGTATCTTTACTACAATGTTTCAGGCTAAATGCGCTTAGCTGCACCTCTAGCAGGCATGCATGTTGTTATGGTCTTTCATGTGCTTCATGTCAACGGTGAGAGTTTAGTCTCATGTAAGATACAGCGAACAAAAAAGAAGGAACCCATGGAGAAAAGAATGGCAGGGGAAACTGCTCATTAAACTTTTCAAAGTGAATAATAGATGAAATGAGAAACAGAAAAGATTTTGCAAGGGCCACGTGTCTGCACTAAACATTACTGTCCCCAACTTGCTTCCAATAGTTTCCCCACATCCAAACTTATTATGGAATAATGTACTGATGTTTGTGGCTCCTGACGGAGATTTCAAGGGTTTCCTGTCAATGTTTATCCTACTCAATTAAAAACCAAACAAGTATGCTAGAGATAATCAAAATCCCCAACTCTTTTTTCCCATGCAAGTGGGGCTTGTTCATATTACATTAGATTAGTTTTATCATACAGCAAAGGCAGCCAAGTAACAAGAGTCAGGAGTAGGTGGTGATTTAAAGTAAGATACAGGAAATGGTTCTAGAAGCAAATAATAGGTACCTCTTCGCTTAATAATTTCTTGCAAGAAAACATAAATCATTAGAATTGATTACAGGTTTAACTGAAACAGAAAGTTCCCAATAAATCAGAGACTTTACAATCATTTGATTGTCATCTCCCATAACTACCACTACCATAATGATGTTCCCTAAAGGAAAATGGAGAAGTGATCATCAAGTAATTCTATGTGAAGAGGGGATTTCCTAAATTTGATACCAAGTAAAATGATTGCCTTCCATATACCTATGTGTACTGTGTTTCAAAATTTGAGTATTTGGACTTGGAATGGCACTATTAGTTTGAACTAGCTGGTCCATCTAGATATGAGCTACCCCAACCTATCACAATATCAACTGGGGTCTGAGACCCTACCAAATTCCCATTCTTGCTCTACATGTGATGCACACCCTATATTTGAACCTTAACTTGGCAGAAGCAACATTCGCCGCTTCACAAACAACCAAATACATTCAATAACTGACAAAGGCCACGGAAAAATTCAGTCATACTAAAAGCTACTAAAAAGATACTAAGCACTTCTATGAGCCAACTTCAACACTAACTATAATGTTTTGAGAGAAAGGTCACAGGAATTGTGGAGGACACCTACAATACACTGGGAAATGTATGCTTCCGGAAAAGTATTCATGGTTCAAAAGTTGATATACACAACAAATAATCTCATGCATTTTGAACAAAGTTATCATTTTAAACTAGTTGATCTTCTTGAATCACCCTAACATATCACATTAATAAGCTTTGGGCATCCTTCCACATTTCAGTTCCATATTAACATTCACCACTTCACTACCATTCAAACCTGATTGATTGATTGACCATAAAAAAAGGAAACCCCTTCCAACTAAAAGAGAATCCTAGACTCCTAGTTCACTAGATGCAAAATTATGAGTTAAAGGAGGCTTTAGATTTCACACAGACAAATCGACCACAACAAAGAATCTAGCATCATCGACGAGAGGGAAGCAAAGGAAGCCTCCAACTAGACAGTTCAGAAACTTCATTATGAATTAAGCTTAGAAGCATCAATTATTAACTGAAAAAAACCACAACCTAGGTCATAAAATCAAAAACCAAATCTCTAAATTCAATAACCCAATGACAAAAACCCAATTATTAGTAACCTACCAAATTATAACCAGAAAACCAAGAAATGCGAACAAAAGCCCATAAATTACAATCAAACTCTAGACTCGTCCAAAATTTGCCCTGATAATCTGAAAACTTTAGCTCAACATAAACCCACAAAATTTGCCCTCATAATCTGAAAACTTTAGCTCAACATAAACCCACCTTGGATAAACACCACTAAAACTTATTAACCCACTAAACAAAACCTCCCAAATTTCCCAAAAAATTCCCAACAAAACCAAAATACCAAGTCCAACAGAAATCGATCAAGGTTAAAATTTAAGAAAAACCCACGTACCAGAACATTGAAAGAAACAGAAACTAAGCATTTGCAGTCTTGGGAATGAGAGGGATGGTTCCTTGTTTGTGGGATTGCTTGAGGTTGGCCTCAGCTTCACGGATCTTCCGCATCTGAAGCATTCGCTCCATGACAAGTTCATACTCACACTTCTCATATATATGGCGCTCGTTCTCACACTTCCATGGAAGAAAGAACTCGGCGTGCCTACACTTGTTGAGTGGGATCAGCAAATGGGCGCATTGGTCTCTATATGGAATAGGGACCCTTGCCTCCACCATTTCTTCCTGTGTTGCTATCATTGGTTTCGTTGATCCTAGCACTTCCATCTCTTTCTTTTCTTTGATTCTTGGATTTTGCCTGCTAAATTAAAATTATGCCTCTCCTCTCCATTCAGTTCCGGCAGGTGTTTCTCGGACTTCAGTTCTCATGTTTTGGAGACTGTAGCAGCCGGACCGGGGGAGGATAGTGCTGTGGGCTTTTGGTTTAGGTTAATTTTCATTGGGCCACTGTGGCCTTCTCTTTCCTGCTTTTCAATTTTGAGTGATGCACTCTGTTTTCTTCTTCTTCTTAAAATTCTACCTAAATAAACTTTGGAATTAAATTCTAAGAACCTGGCAGTTTGTATTTTTTTATCTTTTGGTAAATCTTTATATTTATCAATAAGAAAATATTTTTCTGACTCATTTTTTTTTAAATTTTTAAAAGGTAAATTTATATATTTCTAAAGAAATATATATTAATTATTTTACTCACTAAAAAAAAGCATTCAAGTTTCATGAAATTTAATACCTTTCGAACCAAATGAGATTTAATAAACACTTCTATTCCACGCCGCTCCAAATGATCCAAACACATCGTCGTTCTTCTCAATTCTTCGAATTATGTAGTTTATTCTTTTTCACTCATCGGTAAGTATAATTGCTAAATATTATAATAGATCAAATGAGTTATTTAAAAGTAAATTATATTTTAAAAAATAATTAAATTGATTGATTTGATAGTTAAGGAGATAAGCTAATTTTCTTCGAAGTTATAACATGAAATTATCCTTAAAGCCATTTATTTTTATTTTTTTTCGCACCGTTTATTTATAAATTATCTTTGAGATATCCCTTAGCATAATAATAATAAAATATTTTGCAGACAATGAGGTTAATTATTTTAAGGGTTCAAGAAATCTATGAAAATAAATGGTAAGACGCCAAATTGTCATTTTTTTTTATTTGATCATTTATATTTCATGCTAATCCTGTAAATTCTCATCATCTTTCAAGTAACTATATATTAAGTGAAGTTAGTATTACTTGATATCATGGATTAATCAATTATGAGATGACATATCATTTTATTTTATTTAACCGCAACATCATTTTAATTAAATAAAAATACAATGAATTAAGTTTATTTAATAATTTCTCTCTTTAATAATGATTTTTTCTTAAAAAAGAAGAAGAGGAAGAAGAAGAATACCACGGGTCCCATCCCACCATGAATGTGAGATTTTGTGAATCTTTTTTTTTCATATATTAATTTTGTTAAATAAAATTTTTTATACTTAATTAGGTTTAATTAGTCATATTTAATTAGCTATTTTAGATTTGGATATAGATAATATAAAACATGCATCCATTACTGTCCCTGCTCTACGATTAGCCTTTCATTGAAAAATAAATATAGATTACCCTTTCCTTTCAAAGAATATGAGCATTTCAATTCACTTTTTTAGCTTTGCAACTGACCTCATTTAACTGGCATATGCAGTTGCCATGTATAATAAAGAAAACGAAGTTCTGCTAGCTTACAGTTTCGAAGTGGTTGCAATCAAGGAACGAGAAGAGCATGCAAGGGTAAATTACAGAACTTTTGTTCTCAGAAGAGGAAAAAAACAGTAAACTATAAACCTTTCAATAAGCACCACTAGTTTTTAAACATTAACCTTTCAATAATCTCCATTATTTCTCGTCTCTACAAATCTTAATGTGCCGTTATATAATAAGCATGCATTTTCCAGAAGGCATTTTCGGTATGCCATGGAGCCACATATTGTTCGGAGGCTTGATGATGATGTCCAGAGGACAACTTCAAAGAGGTGAGTTCCAACTTTTATGATCTCGATGACCTTATGGAGATTGTCTTTTGGCCAATTTTTTCCAAGAAAATTAAGTTCTGAAAACTTTTTTCTAAGTGAGATTCGCAAAGAATTGAATACCAACTTAATCTTCTTTGACAATTGAGCAGGTATGAATTTTATCAAATGATGGTTTATATTTTATCTAACTAAACCTCATTACACATATGGGTTCTTGCAATCTCACTCACGTGTAAGCTGTTAGGAGATCCCAAAAACCAAGATGATTGAATTTTGCTTGTTAGGTTGATGGGCAAAGTTGCAGTCATAACTGGTGGTGCTAGAGGCATTGGGGCAGCCACGGCAAAAGTATTTGCAGAAAATGGAGCAAGTGTTATCATTGCTGACATACTCGACAACCTAGGGACCTCCCTAGCTGATTCCATTGGAGGCCGATACATACATTGTGATGTTGTGAACGAAGCTGACGTAGAATCAGCTATAAATCTTGCACTGGCATGGAAGGGGAAACTAGACATCATGTTCAACAATGCAGGGATTTCTGGCACTGAAGGGAGCATCACCAACATAGACATGGAGCAAGTGAAGTACTTGCTCTCAGTTAACGTCAACGGAATTCTACATGGAATCAAGCACGCTGCAAGAGTCATGATCAAAGGCCAAAAGGGAGGGTGCATCATATGCATGTCAAGCTCTGCAGCCATCATGGGAGGCCTGGGATCACATCCATACTCACTGTCCAAAGAAGCGATTATCGGATTGATGAGAAGCACTGCGTGTGAGCTAGGGGTACATGGAATTCGTGTCAATTGCATTTCCCCTCATGGTGTCCCCTCAGAGATGCTTGTTGGTGCCTACAGAAAGGTCCTTGGGAAAAAATATATGACACCTGAAGAAGTGAGCAAAATTGTTGGAGAGAGAGGGAGTCTTTTGAAAGGAAGAAGTCCAAGCCTGGAAGATGTGGCACAAGCTGTAATGTTTCTTGCCAGTGAAGAAGCTGGGTATATAACAGCACACAATCTCGTTGTTGATGGGGGTTTTACCTCTGCCAGTAGTAACATGAGTTTCATCTACCAGTAGTCAAAACAGAGGAACAAATGATTGCAGGAAATTAGTAGAAAAAGGAATTGAAATGGAAAAATGCAAGCTACTTTGACGGTTTAACTTGATTTAAAGTTCCAATCCAAGCTATCTACCAACGAATACATGAGAAAATATACCGAAAATCAGGATAACGTTTCAGTAACTTTAGGTTCCTAGCGTTTCTTTGCTGTTTCGTCCATCATTTTGAAATAGATAAGATTCATCCAATTGCTACATCTGCCACTTCCTGGGGGTATGGCCAAACTGCAATGACCGACCATTCCCATTTTACCTTCATCAAGTAAGAATTTATTTGGAATCTCCAAGACCCTTAACAGAACATCGTAAACTTTCACATCTTGTCCAACAAGAGGAGTAAGTAAACTGCAGATGAAACTCCAATTATCATTTCCCTTGAATTATTGAGCCAGACTGGATATGAATTAGACAGGCATATTATGATATACACTCGGTCAACTTCGTCCTTCAGTTATCGGACTACCCCCAACTACCGGCTGCCTCCTTGAATGAAACATCCTGAATCATCTCCCGATATCATGTGGCGGAACTGCTACTTTTTAACAGTAATTAATAGATTGGCCATCAAACCTGACCAATTACTAAATCCATTCACAAGTTGCAGAAACGTGTGTCTAATGGAGATGTGACTCCTTCTCTATATTGATATGCATACATTCTTGATGATTAGGACTGAGATGGCTAGAAAACTTGTGAAACAAATTACATTGAAAGACTGGGGATCCGAAAATGCTTAAGTTAGCAAGAACATGGGAGGAAAAGAGCTTGAAGAGGCTGTATTATGTGATTTGGTGTAAGATGGTGATGGAGTATTGATAATTCTTATCCTGAGGCTCGTAAGCCTTGACAACTTGCATAGAGTCATGACAAGGGAGTCAATTCCTCTGCCATCTATGATTTTTTATCATCATTAAGAGATAAAAAGTTTTAGGAAATGGTGGATCACTCTTGAGGGTGGATGCTGGTGACATGTACATTGTTCCCTTGATAAAAATAGCCCTTGACGCGTACAGTTCAAGAGGCACTGCGTGCTACGTAGACATGCGCACTTTTAATGCATGTATAATCTGTATTTGTCGCAGGTTTGAGGCAGTATAGATTAACCCGGAAAGCTTTTGTCCGGTCATATTATGGCCGGATTTCTCTGAAAAGTCCAAAGGTAAACAAGAGCTGCGTTCCCCCCCGCCCAGGTTGGGCACATCCTAACCGGATTTAATCTTAAATCCGATTTAATAACTATGCATACGAGAAGACTAACCTGGGGGAGCCTGCCCCTCAATCTATTGAAGTCCAAGTACAGGCAGCAATGTAAGGATGTTAATTAGCTCATGAATCATGCTAAAGCCAAACAAATGCATTATATTAATTTTCAGTAATCATCAATTCAATAATTTCAGTTGAGATGTTACAAAACCCGGTATAAAGTATTTTTAATTAAAAATATATCAAAATGATATTTTTAAATTTGTTATTTTTAAATTTGTTATTTTTAAAATAAGTACATCAAAATCATCCACAAATACTTTTAAAAAATATTATTCTAATATTTTTTCAGGAAAAAAAGTCTTTGTAATGGAAGAGCAAACACCCACGTAAGAAGAATAGAAGATGGTCATTTTTAACAATCATGTAATTTAATTTTTAGTGTGTTTATAGTTTAAAAAGATATATTTTTAATTATGATTTAAAAAAAACATGTATTTAGTTAAAACAGCTGTGAGATTGATTTTTTGTATGAAAAATAAATAAATAAAAAATAAGTTTTTATAAATAAAAAATTAATTATTTTATCTTATAAAAAACAAAATTTGAAACCTAACGTTATATATATATATATATATATATATATAATCCACTGTGAAGTACAGAAAATATTTAACCAGTGTTGTTTTGTAAAAGATAGAAGATAACAAAATATCAAACAACAGTATACTGGGATGCATTCAGTTCAAGCAAGCCCAACTAACCATTTGTCTTTCATTAGATTTTTGGGTCAAACATACTGTTCTTAAGTGTAGACAGGCTCAAAGCTTCGTGGATCACCTCGACCTCTTTAGTCAACGCTCGAGATCATTTATCAGAAGTGATCTCAGGATCAGTATTCGCTCTCAAGTCGTTGTCAGCTATAATGAGATGGTCGGTTTTAGACCCGGCAAGGCATGGCAGAACCCATCGTGATCCGATATTTATGAGTTGATTATGTACTGCACTCCCCTTTGTACTAACACAGCAGATTCAATATTGTACTGCGCCGCCTCTTGTACTTACAGATCGTATATGTTTAGTACAGGGAGAAGCCCTAGAAATACGTTCCAGCCTCCAGGCGATGCCAATGAAGCTTCGTGTAGCTTTTCTCCGCCTAAAATCCAAAACAGAAACAACCCGGTTATATTTCATTGATGGCCGGCTAGACACAGGATTTATCAGATATTTTTTGAGTTTATCACTTGAATGCTGACCGAATATGGATGAAAAGTTGTTCTCTGTTTCCTTTTCCTCCACATTCGGTCAATGTTCCAGTGATGAGCATGAATGGTCGGAGTTTTGCCAGTTTGAGCTGAAATGGCTAATCTCAAAGCTTGCGGCCCAGAAAGCCTAGATTTTGCCACTCAGGAGTATTGGCTGCAGAGCCCTATCATAACAATGACTGCCGTCTTACAAAGAATTGAAAACTGAGGGGATAAGGAATTGAAGAAAAATGGCAGACCGAAATTGCCACCAGCATCGCTGCAGGTATGCAGTCCACAGGTAGGGAGGGCAATAGTTAAAAATGCATCTAGAGCTAAACGGTAGGGGTGCGCAGTGAGCCTGAATAATTTGATGGGACTAAGGGTTTTGGAAAATAACATGGAAAAATGGCAAGCGAGCATGCATTTCTTATTCGACGATTGATATATAAATTTTAACTGCCATGAAAAAAAATTCTAAAATTAGAGTTGGAATACCAGCTCACCCCTTCACTATTCATATATAAAGATGGCATTTTTATTTATTTATTTATTTTGCATTTCCCCTTTCATTTATACATTCCCCCCTCTTTTTTTTCTTTTCTTTTTTCATCCCATTTATATTCTAAATTTATCTTCATAAATTATTTTAAACTTTCTTTCTATAAAATTATTTCAATTTCAAATAAATATCTTTTTGATTAATTTTATAAATACCTATTTTTATTATTATATAATTAAAAAATATTTTTTTAAAAAAAAAAATTCTTAAACCCAGTAACGTTGATCATTCAAAATGCAAATTTAACAACCAACCAATATATTAATATTTCAATATTAAAAAAATCACAAATCATACTTTTTGTCACTTTTTTCAAGTTTTTAGACTCCAAATCAAATCAATATGAAATCACATCAAGATGCTTGGTAAGAATCTATATGAGTTGGAAAATTTTAAAATTAACCTTTTAAATTAAATTAATAACAATATCATATAATTTTTTTTATTTTTTTAATGTTCAAAATTGTTTTGATTCAACAGCAGCGATTGCCAACCTGCAACCTGTAATGATCTTGCATGACATTTACATGATGCCCATGTCTGATAAATCTGACTCCCCGAATCCTGATGAACAAAATTTTATTTCAAAATTCAAAACCCCACTTGTTTGGGGGTAGACACCATGCATTTCCTCAGTTCAAAATTAACAGCTGTTCTGGGCGAACAAAAATTGGAAAGCCGAGGCACGATTTGAAGAAAGCACAGCAGTGGCCTTCTATGACGGTAGGAAGGTGCGGATTTATCTGATTGCTGATTACCCCAGAAAACCAGACAGATGCGGTAATACATAACAGCATCTATGCTAATTATGATGCATACCACCCTGAATAATCAGAACATAAAACTAGCCTTTAAGGCTGCTATATAACGCAGCTTGGAACAGCGGAACAGTATCAACCTGCTGTTCAGTCAAAAACTGTCAAAGCAGGCTTCGAAGCAAGTCCTCAAGCTGCTGGTGGTAAGATCCAAGAAAAAAAAAATGACAGAAAGAGATCCATAAGAAGAATATATCCCTGGAAGTTCACTCCTTTTGCCATCAGGGTTCGAGAACTTAATTTAACAACACTTGTTTACGCAGTTGTTTCATTTATGAACATGAGCTCCACTGCACAAGTATGGCTGTCCATCAATTTGCAACTGCAGAGCCACAAAAGAGCCCTACGAGCTACCTCAGCTTAAAAAAAGATTAATGTACAACATCCTTGCTCCCATGTGAATCGTTTCGAAAGATCCCCGTTCATGCAAGGATGAACTCTAGATTAGATAGTCACTTACATTTTAACCTCTATGAGCTGACACACACACACACACACACACACACGTTTAAATACATACAAACATACATATATTTATATATAAGACAAAAGTTTGTGTACACACACGTTTAAATACATACAAACATACATATATTTATATATAAGACAAAAGTTTGTGTACACACACGTTTAAATACATACAAGCATATATTTATATATAAGGCAAAAGTTTGTGTCTGCAATAAAAGAAGTGAAAGATCGGGCTTGACAGTCTAATAATGCTTTCCTGTCACTTGATATAGAAAATTTTCAGTATTTAAAATTTTGGTCACAAAGCCTTTCAAGAACTTTGCCAGTTTGAGTTCCGCAGGAAGTCTCCAAGAGCACATTTTATGTGACGGTGATTTTAATTGAACACTCAGACTCCTTTGTATTGGTTTGTGTCCATGAACATGCATGCACCTATAGAATTTCTTAGATTTTTTCTATGATCGGAGTGAAATGACAGGGTAAAAACAAAAATTAAATGGATTGTTCAGGCATGGAGGCTACAGCAAATCAATAACACAACCACTCTTGTCACCTGACGAGCCCCGAAAACAGTGGTGGCATAAGACGTCAAAAATAGATACTATAATCGATAACATTCACTAATAAAATCAGGTTCCGTGAAATGTAAAAACACAAAAATAAAAAGCAGTAACAAGCAATGCCACATTACAAAAAGAGACTGAAAATTATCTGATCTGATAACCTTTAATTATCAAAGCAATCTATTCCATTCTTCATCTCATGAATCAATGACGGACATCTAAGATCGACAGAAACAATGAGTTGAAGTGTTACCTGATACTGCAGTAATGTTCTTGCTCTTTTAGAACAAGGGACCCCTTTGTCTTAGATTACAATCCTCAAGGCAGCTGCATCTTCTTAGATTTCAGGATGCTCAGACATAAAACCTTGCCACGCTTTTTTCTACCTGTGTCTTACATACAGCAAAACCTACCATTTAAGAATCAACAAGAGAATATCAATTGAGAAACTGTCAACCATATACTCAAAAGGAACCTCTACCTTGTTGCTCACCCAACAGGTCTAAGTTTACCATGCTTTATCCCCATTTCTATCTTGTCCAGATGCAACAATGCTCGAAAATAAAAGTACAGCTCCAATCCATGACAAAAGACACGAGGAAGAACAGGTTTCACGGATCAATCAATCAGGTAGGATAGATGAAAGCTAAAATTTAATCTAGTCATATCTCACAATTCAGGTCTCATAGGTGGGGTTTTGTCACAGACCCTTCAAACCTACCCTGGATATAAGATTCAAGCGCCAACAGATTCAGTATCAAACACCTAACTCCAACAATTTCTATTTCTATGCCACTCATAAATTACAACAAATGCTGTCGTTGCTCCTACCAATACACCAAGAACAAGAATTGTTACTCCCACTTAGATTAATGTTATTAATTACAAATAGAACACTGCAGGAAATCTCCAGAGTAACAAACTGGGTTCCCATTGTTTAGGCTGATCAGGATCAGAATCTTTCTACAGCAGTGATCAACATGCTACAATAGTTGATTTATAATCAAACTCGACATCGACACTTAACCCTCTTTTTATATTTTACTTAGCTTGGTAACCCCCCAACATCTCATTTGCTTAATTATTTTCCACATATCACATGCAAATAATAGGAGATGACTTCATCAAAAGTAAAGAGTACCTTTAACAAGGAAATTTAGAATTAAAAGAACATCATCATCCCTCAATTATATACTAAATCAATTTAAATTAAAAAAAAAATATTGACGATTTTTAAGATTCAAGTTATAATAATCCCTCAATTTAAACAAACGCCTTTCTTACATTTCCTCCAAAACCACCTTAGCTTCTTTAAACCTCTCAGACTCAATCAACTTCCTTCCCAAAATCCTAAAATTCTCGCTATCGAAACCCTC